TCTGATTAATTATCATCACTAACTTGGCCTGTTGGTGTGAAACCACTCAGGTGCACTACCCTGTGTAACAGCTAATATAATATGCTAATGCCGATGTGTCTGCCTCGAGCCTTTGGCACTGCTTGGCTTTCATTAACATGACATTGTTTCTCTGTTGAGGCCTGGACGTGCCCATTGATTTAACAGTGACAGCCTCCACTGACAACACCATCACTCTGTCCTGGGGTGTGGTCCAGGGCCCCATCGACCACTACAAGGTCACGTACACGTCCTCCAGCGGCATCACTTCCGAGGTAAACAACTGGACATTTATGACACGTACCATATGATATAATAGTGCGTCAGCTGTGAGTCAGCTGTGAGTCACCGTAGAGGCGGAGTCACACAGCTTTAACCTTGTGTTTCAAAAGTAAATTTACGTCTGTTTCTCCTTCCCTCAGCTGACAGTGCCTAAAGATGTTACCACCACCACCATCTCAGACCTTGAGCCCGGAACAGAATACACCATCACCGTGGCGGCGAGAAGAGGAAGACAGCAGAGCACCACAGCCACCATAGACGCCTTCACAGGTAGAAGCAACATTGTTGATAATAGAGATTCCTCCATTGATGAAGTCATCTGTTAAATTCAAATAAAGGTGTCAAATAACTCGCCTTAATTGATAAAAGAGTTCCCCTTTGCCAATTTAATGATAGCATTTAATTATGTTACATTCAATATCGGACCGTCTCAGTCAAAAACACGACAGATCATTACACCACTGAGGGAACGGCTCGAACACAATGGTGTTTTAACAGGAGTCAAATGGTAAAAATAATGACCTGCAGTGCAGCAGCAGGTGAGGTGCTTACAAGCAGATGAAAAATGGAGCACCTTAAAGGAGTTAGAGGCAGCAATTAGTGATGCTAAATTAGTCAAGTTGGCTAATGAGCTTATTACAAGTGTTCTCTAATTGCACCTCTGTATTGCACGTAAGTGTAATTGTGTTTTGGTTTCTTCTGAAGCAAATTCAACTTCACACACGCGGCGCTTTACTCCCACTGATGGATGTTGCCTCCTTCTCGCTGAATATCAATCACGCCCTGGATGTTTTTGTTTTTTTTTTTCTCATTGAATCTGTGTAGAAGTGTCAGTCTGCGTCTGTCTGCTCAGCTCTTTTTTTTTTGCAGCACCCACTGACTTTTCTGCACATTTATCTTCATAAAATCTACCTTAGCACTAGCACTAAGTCATTAGTTAACTGTCCCATTCATCAGAAGGTTTGATTACCACTCGTGTTAATCTAAATGGTATTTGTTACTTTTTTACCCGGTTACTCCAAATTCTCAGAGTTTTGCACGAATAAAGAAAAATACAGAACGTTTTTTGAAGGAGTGAATTTAGAGCTGTCTTCACCTTAGAACTTTTTTTGTGCACAAACTTGTATGGCATATTTCTTCAGTACAAGGTGTGTGTCAGTAAAAGTCAATAAGTAGATATTGTTCAGTTTGACAGGGTTGGCCATAAAGCGTCTGTCTTTCTTAAGAAGCCTCTCGAAGAAGAATTTCAAAAACCCTATGTCTATTCTTCCTTGGCATGAATTGGTTCTACAATCCTGGCAGAACCTGATGTACATGATACTTTGCTTCTTGTCTCTTTTTCTAGTATTAGTATTTTTCTTCTAAAATACTGAAGAAACATTTTCCAGTGCAGCATAGTAAAGACTTTCTGATTATTAATTTAATTGGTAAAAGTACATCGAGAAATCACTGTAGTGTCCTCCTGTATTTCTGAGCTTTTAAATGATTAACAGTCCTGCAAAAGACGTGTCACCATCATCTGGGATCATAAATGACATCTTCATTAAAACCATTACAGCTGGGCTGTCTCACCAAGTCAATAATCCTGCTTTCCCATCCACCCTTCATTCTGTATTCATCCCTTCTTGTGATAAAATCCAGATTCTTTGATACCGACCGTGCAGGACATTTTCCACCAAAAACCAGTTTTAACACAAACTCCCGGCTTATTAAAACTGAACTCCTTCACTGTTTCCCCTCTCAGCTTGTCATCATGTCCTTCCTTGGATGGACGTCTCACATCTTCATTTTCCATTTTTTTCTCTTCACGAAAAAAATGTAATCATTGCTTCCACTACCAAGGTTTTCTCTCTCTTTGCTTCTGCTCCATTGTCACAAAATCCACGACTAATTCCTTTCACTTCATGGCGGCGTCGCATCTCCATCAACTTCATTCTCGTTCCATCGCCTCCGCCTTCGCAGCTTTCCTTGAAAACTCTCCGATGACCTCTGGACCCTCCGTTCTTTCAGGGATCAGACCAGTAACCCACCTCTACTTGTCAGAAGTGACTTCAGACTCAGTGTCGGTGGCGTGGAGCGCCCCGGCGCCGCCCGCCGACCTCTTCATCCTCAGCTTCAGCTCTGCCGATGGGACAGACAGCTCTAAGCTGACTCTGGAAGGAGCCAAGACAAGGTTGATGGTTGAAGGACTGCTGCCCTCCACACAGTACACCATCAGTCTAATCACTATTCAGGGGGACATCACCTCGGAGCCGATAACTGCATCTCTCACTACAGGTGAGACCCTCGATTTCCTGGAGATTTGATGCCTGGTGTTCGACAGTAATGAAGAGAAATGTGTGAGAATGAGAATGACATTAAAGGCCAGAGGGTTTGTGACTGCTCTCTGCACATATGTTCCAGTGCTTTCTGGCTTTTTTCTCATTACCTCGCTGCCAGGCAGGGACAAAGCTATGTTCATGGACATGTGGACCTTTGTTAAATCTAAGACATATTTGTATTATATATTATTTTGCTTGGAAGGTTTTCAGTTTTCCTTTTTTGTCTACTGTACCTTGAAGTACTAAAACCTGCTGTATCTAAAATGTAGGCTCTGCCTTTGGTGCAACCTGCTAAAAATATTATTACAAGTGCTGTGCAACATGAAGCAGTCCCTGATTGTAAATGTTTTGCACAAATCAACACACCTTATCATTTATTTTGACTGTTAATATATTACCATATAAGGCATGTTGTTAGCTCCTCGAAAAGCCGTTGACCTATTTCACCTTTTGTTGTTCCTTTGTAGTGTGTTTGTGTTTGAATTACACTTCATCTTGAGGAACGCTCCTCATTGTTTACCTGTAGTGTTTATGAGGACCTTCATGGACAGTAGTAAAATCAGCCGACATAATCAGAGGTCTGAATTACGAGGTCAAAGTGTTTTTGTCCTGCAGAGAACGCTCTGTCACCACTGACAGTGACACGTGTAGGAAACAGTGTCATCCAGTGTCTGGACAACGTTTGCTGTCCCTCGGCCATTTCTATTTCCATACATTGTTTTTTTATTCCTCTGAAAGGCATGCTCCTTAAAACCTAAAAACATTTGTTTTTACTTCTACCTCTGTCTTTCAAAAACTACTGGTTGTAATGGATTTTCCCTGATGTTTTCCCTGATATAAGGGAAGGCAAAGGCAGTCATTTTTAAGCTGACAAAGAGAAATTCAAAACCGTGGAAAAAAAAACTGTAGTAAAAGAGACTAGAAGGGAAGAAAAGATTGCCGAATATGAATTGTAAGAAGGGAGAAGTCAGCTTTGAACCTCGGCGACATTAATTTTGCAACAGTGTCAGAGACACCTGTTTGCTCCCATCTGATCTTTATTTCACATTTGTATAAAAGTCTGGCGGCTTGTAACTCTCTCATTTCTTGTTTCCTCTGCCTTTTCGCTCTGTGTGAGCAAACAGAAATTGTTAGATTGCAAACTCCGGCAGAGAGTATTTTTAAGACAGGTGTACTGTACAGTATTTCCAGCACCTGTCTCTCTGCATCCTGATGAATTGAATCTAAGAGTTGATGAGAGGCTGAACTCGCGTAGAATAAAATGTACTCTTGGGTTTGCACTCGCTGTGTTTGCAGCATTAGACACGAGACACTTTACCGCAGGTTTGAACCGCAGTTATAGCCGTGGTTCATATTGATTAGTAGAAGAGGTACTCTGGAAGTATTCTGCCTCAGGGCCGCATTCATTCATTAGCTTACGCAACGCAAAGTGAATCATCGACAGCGTAACAGCCGCAGATACAAGTGACAGAGCTGTCTGTAAACATCCACGGCCGTTATTCTCCTCTTTGCAGTAGCCAAGAAAATACATAACATACATATGAATTTATACTAGAGACAGAAATACATTACATTTAAGTCTGTGTAGATGGAATTTGATAGGAAGTTTTTTTTTCCTCTTTTTAAAACTTATCACATGCCTTTATTGCTTTGTACATCTTCTGATGACCTGGCATTTATTTTCTCATCTTATATTCAGCATGACCTTTTCAATGGCATCTCAGTGTCTGAGGAGAAACAAAACTAGTGTCGAAGCAACTGTGTGAACCCAGCTCTCAGCCTTGATGTTAATGATGCCAGTTTTGTTCACTTAGTCTCATGGAGCTGGATTTGTTTTTTATAATGAAACCAATGCATGAGGTCCTTAAGTCCATTGACTGGACACATACCAGAGTAAGGCAACCACATCGCCATATCTGATGTATAAATAGTAAATTTTCCTATGTTTTCTTATATTCTTTTTTGGACCAAGGAAACAGGAAATACATACATATTACATACTGTGAAGCCAAAAGCCACCAATAATGGGTGAGAGAGTTCCTTATGTAGAATTCAGTACATTCTCACTGCTACACCTTTAAGAATTGACCACAGTGCATACTCCTCACTTCTACTGAGTTCCTGGATGAAATGACCACATCTTCTCCATTCTTTACCGCCCTCCCAGGTATCGATCCACCAAAAGAGGTGACGGTGTCAGATGTGACAGAAGATGCAATGACAATTTCCTGGATCAAACCTCTGGCTTCGTTTGACTACTACAAGCTGTCCTACCAGTCAGCAAAAGGTAGGATTTACAGTGTGATTTACAGTGTGAAGAGTCTCTAAATTGTACTTTAACATTAGGGTGATCCTTATATCAGTAATTACGGCCCACGGCTCTCTCCTGTTTCACGTAAACGAATGTGACACTTGCTTTTGCAGCGCTCTCTCGTGTGAAATGTTTTGTGGCAGCGCACCTTGTTATTCACCCTGTTATACATAATTAACTGTAACATTTTATCTGTGAAATTTAATTTAATTTTTAATTAAAGGTTGGCATTGATTAAATATTTACCCAGTGATGCAAAATGCACAGAGCCTGGAGTTACAAAAAAAAAAAAGAAAAAGTAAGAGGATGTGGAGTTGGACAGTTTCTCCCTTGTGTGTCTTTTGCAGGTCGTGTGGACAGTGTGGTGATTGACAATGATGTGACCAACTACAACCTGTCCAGTCTGTTCCCTGCTACGGAGTACGAGATCAGTATCAACGCTGTCAGGGGAAGTCAGGAGAGCAGAGTGGTCAGCACCTCTGTTTTTACAGGTGGGAGCTAATAATGGAACATCATCAGGGTTTGATGACCGTCTTTGGCGTGATCCGTTGCTCAGCTTGGCTCTAGTCGTGTTCTTGCTGTATTTTGTGGTTACACCAGAGAACTGGGAGTGCTCCAATGTTGAAGGAAGTGAAATAGTTTATTATATTATATATCATAGCAATTATTTATTATGTGCAAAAAATCTGCTGTTACATCCACGTCAGTGAACACTATCATCAGAAGTCTTTGTCTTTACTGTAATCTGTGACTGTTCTCTCTCTGATACCATGTTCTCCCCACTGCCAGAACAGCTCGGTTCTAAGAGATTTGGAAAACAGGGGCACACACACACACCTACACACACACACGCGCAGACAAACATCAGACACAATCACAATCTAATGGTGCAACTGACAATACAAGAGGTGCAATCTCTGCTGCTGCAAGATTAAACTGTTCAGTCTCTGACCCCAGTAATTGGTCTCTCTCTCTCTCTCTCTCTCTCTCTCTCTCTTTCTCCCTCTCCCTCCCTCCCTCCTTTGTCCTTCTTTGCCTTTTTCCTCATCAATTCTCCTCCTCTTAATATTTTGGGTTTACCTCTTGTTGCAGTGTGCTTAATCTGATTATGGTTCAGATTTATAAAACGAGACAGTATTAACAAGTGCTTTTTTTTATCATTAGCTTTTCTTCCCCACCTCACATCATAACATTTAGTCATTTAGGGCTTGTGTAGCTCTCTGTGTGTAGCATTAAGACAATGAAAAGCAGTGCACGAAATTGAGATTGGGGGTTGGAGTGGGGGCGTGGTGATCAATGAGAGCAGGGATCAATCCAGTCAAAGCCAAAGGGGTTTCACTCTGTGTCGTCGTACTCAGTCCTCTCCATCAGTTAGCTGTCAATCACTATGAAAGCTGGGAAATAATAAACTATAGATTGATGACATCATAAATACCCTTAACCAAGGACAATATCACACAGCCTCCCAAACCATATGTAAACAGGCGTTTAGAGGAGTCGCTGGTCAGAGGAGCTGAGAGATAACAGCAGACAGGGTTTACTTTTGCCAACACAGCAGGTTACTGCTAATATAAGATGACTTTGGGGAGAGCTGGGGCTAAATGGACCATGTACGGCTCTGTTTAAGAGCTAATAAAGGTGCTCATTAGCAGCGTGACAGGACACCTAGTAAGGCATCAATCTTTCTAAAACAAAAGAGTGGGAGGAAGACTAATAAAGTCCTCCCCGGCAGTGTTGTCACCGACACCGATCAATCAGGGATTGAATGAATGTGCTGCTAAAGCAACAATAACATAACAAGGGCTAAAAAAAAATATAAATGACAACTACAGCCGTAGTTCTTAGGAAGATACATGAAAGTTTAGAGAACACAGGACGGACAGCAGGAGAGAGAAAAGAGGGGTGGTAGGGGGAGGTAGAGAGCAGACGGCAGTGAGGAAGGTCGCTCCAGACTTGTCTGTGTTGTGAAGCCTTTTCCAGGCACTCGTTCGTGTGCGGCTGTTACACGTGTCAGTGCAAGCGCCGCGAGAGATCACACCAATTATTATTATTTAAACTGAGCGAGCCATCATTTTTCACTCACTTTTAATAAAGAGGCAGAGAGCAGCGTTATTACCAAGGTGCAGGACGTAACCGCTGCTAACTGCCAATTATGTCATTGTTAACAAGTCGTTCTTAGACAAAGCAGTTTAATGACGTTAATGCCACGTGCCTTCGGAGAGCACATTCACACAGACTCAATTATTTTTCAACATTAGTGCATGTCTATACTTTTATTCTAATTATACACTTTATAAAGTCATTGAAAAATTCATTCTTATTGCCTCTGAGCTTTGAATTTACATACATATCTGGCAGATATGACCAGCAATTATTATTTTTTTAGATTATTATTATAATTTTATACAAAGATTTGCAAATTCTCTATCTCTGGTTTGGTAGTTCAGTTGATAAAGAAAACAACAACAACTAAAAATGACTAAAGGTAAACACAAAATATATTTGTCTAATTAAAAGTCTGTGGGAGTGTAGTACCACGGAAAATTATCACAAATCTGAAAAAATAATATGTAGTGACACATGGCGCATTTCAACTTAGGCAGCTCCTAGGTCAGCATGAAAATAAAAAATGACCATTGATGAAAATGGAGTGTTATCCTCAGCTCCAAAACAGTGAAACTATGATGTGGGTAAACATTTGAATTTAGGTGGTCCACAAAGGCTTCCTGAAGTCGTTGTTCATGGTTTTATCACAGAACTGCAACTGGAGTTTGTAATTTTATATACCGTAAACAATGTCAGTATGATGTGGGAGTATCTTTGACCGTGTTGTCATTGGACGTCCTCAGTGATGAGTCGGTGTAATGACAGACGAAGATATATTATTTACCTCCAGGCAGTTTGTATTTGGAGTCTGAATAAATTCAGCATTAAAAAGTGCTCCCTCACACACTCACACGTACACACACACACATATTGTGGCGCTGATAGAACCATTTGTACGGCTGTGGTCTAACCCTTCACAGCTATTTATGTTGTTTCTCTACTACATACAGTATGGCTGTGGGGTTAATGTGCATGACACACTTACACCGTTTTTTTTTTCCCACAGTGAAGCAGCACGGTAATGAGAGAGGATGTTCAGATAGTCTGGGGAGCACAACAGCCGACTGTGTTGGTACCAAGTGAACTGTCTGTGGCTTTACATAATGACACTACACCACTGCACAAAGCAGTGTGACTTCTGAGGGTAAAAACACAACAAGGGCTGAAGAAATACAAGTATTTAAGATAGGAATGATTTATTAGAGCATCTCTTTTTCATGCTGTGGTGACTGTTGGAGAGATTTTTTTATTTTTTATTATTACCAAAACCAAATAGTCAATAACTGTATATGTTTGATGGCTGTATATACATTATGAATACAGTTATTTAATTAGCTGTATTAAAAGGTACGGACAGCTAGCTAATGAGGCCTTCAACGTGAATAGAATCTTTTCATACGTTACCATTATAAATGTTCTGTTTCAATCCTGTTTTTCATTTGCGGCACAGACAGAAGCATCCAATAGAGCATTCAAACATTCAAACCGGATTTTCACCGAATAATGAAAGCGTCGTCACCAAGATGACGATGATGCAGTTTTTGTCAAAGCGGAGGTTTAAAGGGCTGTGTTTGTAATTTTCACGGTCAGCTTGTACACTGAGGAGCACTATAAACTTGCTTAGGGGTGAAAACACCATTTCTGTGTAGCAGCTGCTCCAGGGATTATGATGATAAAAAATATAATATTTTTGATAAATTATGAAGCGTTTTCAAGCCTTCTGCTCAATAGTTTCCCTTTCAGTTTTGAAAAGTTTAAATGTGCTGAAAGTAAAGGTCCTTAAAATTGATTATTAAGGCAAATTGAGAATACCACATCTTTGGTCCGAACTTTACGTTCCACCAAGCAGTGATGTGTGAGGCCTGGGAGAAAACTCTTTTCATGCCTCATTAGCCAACTTTTTAGAAGAAATAAAGACCATCCCGGGGTCTGAAGACACAGGAGGAACAGCAGGTAGTGGAGCAAAACCTGTAAAAGAATACACTAAAAGAATTGAAGTATCTCACTGGAGATTTGGAGCAGAGAGTGAGGTGTGAGTGTGTGTGATTTTTTAGTGAAACTTCACAACCCCTGAGACAACCTCTGCAGTGCCAGACTCTACTAAAAGACTGAAGCCTTCCATTTGGCCACCAGAGTGTACAGTACAGTATGCTGATGTGCAGAAATGTTGGAGCTCTGTGCTGTGTCCAGGTTAAAAAGTCAAGAGGCAAAGGGGACGTTGAGGGGATTCTGGGATTCAAGGTCAGGGGTGAAAAAAGTTTGATTCCATAGCAGCCTCAACTTGCAGTTCTTAGGGTTAGAAACTGTTTCTGGTCTTGGTACAAAGACCAGAAACAGTTTATAAATACATTGAGAATGACAGTAGTTAAAGGGGAGTGGTTCGATACAGAAACATAGATAATATATGCAGATATCTCAGATGATAGAATTGGTAATGTGAGAAGTTTGAGCCAATCAAAATGCTTAATTTTAAATGTGAGTTAACCTGACTTACAAACCTTCCCTGCTGCTGTAGGAAATTAATTCTCAACATAATTTATTATTTTATTCAACAGCGTAGTCTGGTGTTTCAGCTTGGACTGTTGAAAAGAATCCAAGGTGGTTTCAGCTCTGCAGTCCACACCAAGGTTTTCATGTAATATCTACATGTTTTTAAATGGATCCATAGTTAAACCCTGGTGATTATCCGTTGTGTAACCTTCAGTCAGTCTTTATCGATAAACACAAGTTCATGCTTAATTTCGTACCCTTTACCCCTGTGTCTTTACAATTTCAATTGATTCAATTCAAGTGCTGCACCACACTGGGACTAGTCATGTGACAATGTTTGAATCCACATATAAATTACTTATCGGTGGAAACGTGTCGTGCTGCAGAGGGACTGCACACTGAACCCTTACTACAGGAGAAGCTTCACGTCCATGTGTTTCCATGTCCTTGTCCATTCATTGAGTACATAATGAACAACTGTAGCCTTTTGGACGCAAACACTTCAGGTGTACTTGTGCTCAGGTTCCGATCACCATAGAAATGCCCCAAGGTCCACTGCACCGGCTACAATGTGCTGAGGCTCCGTTCATATCTGAGAGTCATCGTTAGCTCCAGGCTCCTGCACGTGGTTCACCAACTGCAATCACTAAATGGAGAGTTGGATTAATAGAGGCTCCGATGCAAAGGATGATCTGTTTATTTTATTTTTATTTTTTTTACTTGGGGCCCATCAACGCTCAATCTCCATTGCTGCTCTAATTGACTTGGCAACATTCCATTACATTCACTTAAACCTTTTGCAATTAAAGTAATGATTTCAATTAGGTTTGTTCATCTACTGCAGTGACACGAAGGACCAACTCATTTCATTGTGCTAATGAGCAGACTTTTTTTTTACTCTTATAAGGCATAGGACTGAGTATGTGGACTGAGTCTGTGCAGAAACATGCAGAAACTATCTGCTGGGCCAAGAAAAGAATCCCAGGGAAATAATCGGGCTAAAACTCTGGGGGTTAAAGGTATAATTAAGGTAAAGGTATAATTAAGAGGGGAGGGAACCGCTGAGCCAGGAGAATGTGTCTTTGCATAAATTTTTCTGTGATGTTCAGTTAGAACTCGGGAAAGTGACTGAAAGTGGGAATGAGGTTCATTACAGTTTTAGGAAGAACATTGGTTGGTGACTTTCTGGTTTAAACAGTGAACTTGGAAAATATGTGTTTATTGCATGTATTATCTCTGCAACATGTAGATGGTTTTAATGACTGTAGTTAAGTCTTGTTGTCCTGTCATGTAAACCAGGTGATAGGAAGAACATAAGTAAAGCAGAAAATAATAATAAGGGATAATCACATGACAATGATGTAATATATAATGTGATGCGATGTGGTATGATACGATGCATGATAAAATGTATGACATCTTTTTTTTGTCTTCGAATATTTTTAACCCAATACCTTCTGTGCTTGGCTTTGTTGTGATCGTAGCCATGGACATGCCAGCTGAGCTGACAGCTCTGAACATCACTCCACAAGGAGCTCTGCTGAGATGGACCGCCCCTCTGTCCAGTGTTGACAACTATGTGCTGACCCTCACACACAACCAGAGTAAGTTTCCACAACATCATGTACTGTATTTGTTAGTCTGATGATGGGAAGATATTTGTGTTCGACCGTGGATGATAATTAGATTTTACTGCATCAATGATGATTTGTTACTATCTGATGTATATGAGGTCAGGTGACCAACACACACATACGAGAACTACAGTTATAGTTTCCATTCGATGTCCCCATCTGGGTTCTTTCAGCACCAGGACTTTTCTGTTTTGGTTTGGTTTGCTGACGTGTGTAACACCAGCCCACAGACTCTGGCTGTAATGAGCACATTCATTTTAGCTCATTTGGATTCAGCACGTGTAGTTATGACAGGTACGATTAAGGGTTTCCTATTAAAGAGTGAGAGCCATGACGGGTCCTTTGAGGCAATACGGATCCATTTGTCTTATTTTCATTACATTATGCATGGTGGAAGCCCAGAGACTCAGCCCCAGTCTTTGCTTTCAGTGAGAGCCATGTGTTTCTTATGCAACCCATGTTTTCACTTTGTGTCTCAGCTACATCCCGATAAGGAAGAGATGGTCATAGAGTGTGGCCTCGGAGGGCCAGTTTATAATTTACTACCTGAACTGTGCCTGACCTACATGTTACGGCAGGTTAACCAGCCTCAGATACGTGCCGCCTTCAAACTACTTTACATGCACAGCACGGCCTCTGAAAACGGGAAGCATAAAAAGACTCAAAGGAATGACCTGCAAACATTGGCAGGAAAGGGTCTCCGCAAAATATAGTGAATACATTTACCAGTCAAACGTTAATCAAATCCAGTGTCAACAATTATTTACTGACTTGTGTGAATTAGCTGGAGAAAGTGTAACTGGGGACGTGTTTCTTATGAGCGCGTGCGTCACTGCATAAGCCGTGCCAGAAGGTGTTCACACAGGTCTGTATTACTTATCTGTAGAAATCAATGTGGAATTACTTCCTGACTGACTGGATCCCAGCCAGATCCTCTCACGTACAGGGACAGTATATCTTCACTGTGCGTATATTTGAAAACCAATCAGCCTATGGAGAAGTGCAATGCACAGTGTTGACCTTTTCCCTGAAGTATATTATAAACCAAAGCTGAGTTTTTCTGCCATGAAAAAAAAGAAGGCTGCACATATTTTGTTAACTAAAAAACACTCGTCGTGTTGGTGAATAATCCATATTAAAATCTTAGTGACAGTTTGACCTCAAGTTCCTGTAATTATTTCTGCACATTATAAACTGAGCGTACAGACTCCTGAGACGTCCACACTGGAGACACCGTGTAAATGTCTTCTTTTGACATTTTGATGACCCACCATAGCGCAGTCATTTTCTCAATGAGACATTTTTCACTGTCAAGTCGGAGGCGTTTTGTTAGTAGTAAAATTGCACGTAGATAATTCCACGGTGATTGAGTTCATTCTGTTTAAATTGGCCAGTCAGTTTGTCCGCACTGATGAATGGAGCGACGATCGGACTGTGTTTCACTGCAGAACAAATGGTTCGTCATTTATTTGTAGAATACTCAAGACGTCCCATTTATTATTTAAAGTTTGAAAAATAACGCAATATTTAATAGAGAATTTTTAACACTAATAAACCTTTGACTATTAAAACAGATGTAATGCAGTTTATTCAGCACTGGAAAAAAAAACCACTTTGTTAGGCAGTGTGGTTGTGTTCAACCCTGTGTCTGTTCCCCAGTCACAGCTGACACCATCCTCGTGGAAGGCAATAGGCAGGAGCACCAGCTGTCCAACCTCAAGCCCAGCACCGTCTACTCCGTCGCCCTCTACGCCACCAAAGGACCGCTCACCAGTGGAACGGTCATCACTAACCTTCAAACACGTGAGTCGCCGTTTAATTTATCGTCACTGGATACCGCTCTGGTTTAAGTCGTGTTCATGCACACACAAAAAACAGAAATCTAGCCAAAGGTCTATTGTGGTGTAAATAGGAGATGTTTTACTCATGAAATAAAGGCAGAATTAGGAACAACAGTCATTGGTCTGTAAGACCACAATCCTTCAACCAGTGAGTCGAAAATGATTCTTGTTGTTGTCGTTGGTATTCTTCTTCTTTTTCCATGCTGTCTTCCTCTTCTTGTGCTTCTTCTGTTTTCGGGTTCTTGTGGCATGTTTGCACCAGCAGACACGTCCATCATGTGACATCCCAACATACCACAAAAACAAGCAAAGGATTTTTGTGTGATTCACTGTTTTAGAAAATGATTATTTAATGATGTTGTTGTAGTGACACTTTTGTGGCTGACTGTCACCACTTCAACCACACGTTAAGACGGTGTACTTTACAGTCTCAGTGCTAACGAGTTTCCTGATACATCATGGTTAAGCCTGTTGGAAATAACAGCCTGGAAGCCACACATATCTCCCGACACTGTCTGCCAGCAGCGAGTGCCTTTGGCGCAGCTCTCCTCTTTATTGCTCTGGCCAACATAAACCTCAAGTGAGTAATAAATTTCACCTTGGAGCTCCTGGAGATACACAGTGCTGAGAGTCACCCACCTTTGTTATAGGAGTTAGTATTTAGTGAGACACTATGCAGTAGTCAAGGGCACATCTGACATGGGAACAAAGCTGGGAACAGCTCTTCCTTCCCTCTCTCACCCCGTACTCTTTGACCTGCACCTTTCTAATCATATAAGAAGTGAGAAATCCAGTCCAGTCTAGGTGAGTCGCACCTTTGTTAACTTTGTTTTTTACTGCAGTTCTTTTAGGGTCTGAGAAAAAAAAAAAGTTTTAACTCAGCAGAGAAATACATACAGGTACTCCCCAAGGAGTAGCTGTGCTACCTGTCCTGCAATGCAGCACAGACAAACCAGCAGGAAGGAAAACAAACTCTGACAATGTATGTGAAAGCAGGGCTGCACTGGCTCCACAACAGAAATGGGTCTTGGGGAAAATAGGAGTGTACCTGCAAAACCATGTCAACACGGCGCATGGATGTAGTTACTCAAATATAAACAAGTGTTGTTGGCAGTTTAAGGTGCTTCTAATTTGGAACTTCTTCCGACGGCAGGAAGCACCTCAGCCTCTCAGGAGAACAAAAGAAGAAAACATATTAAAAAAATGCATCTGTGCTCTAGTTAGACTGTCATGGAGTTGTGGTCTGGTTTTTTTGACCACTTTATGTAATAAAAAAAGGAGATACTCTTATTCTTTTTTTTTAGATGAGAGATTAGGTTGAACCTCATTGATTCCACACTGGGGGAATTGTGGGTAGAAAGGTGTAGTAATGGTCATTTTTTAAAGCTTTTTCAATTTTTCAAAGGTTGGAAATATTTAGTCAGTTTATACTGATTTATACTGAGTCGATTTTAACTTGTTTTGACCTTTTATGCAACTATGTATTTGGTCACTTGTCTCCTATGTACTGCTACATTTTTTTTCTGAACATTTTTTAAAGACTTCTCAAAAGATAAATCCAACAAAGTAAAGAATACGTATTAAGGGTTTTACTGTGGTTGTCCAAATACATTTTCTTTTTTAATATATATGGCTACGTAGTTTAGGTTTGAGTTTAGTTTGAGTAGTGAGTACTGCCATGTTACATATAGGGTGACGTGCAGCATCACAGCAGTGACAAAACAATAACATGTCCATAGCCGGTTTTTCCTTTCCTTTCTCTATCAGACTATTTCAATGCAAAACAACCCAAACAGTTCTGCATTTAATGTTGTTGAAATATCTCCAAACAGCTGCCATTGTGGAGATTCTTTAATAAACTGCCCATGAGGACAGTGAGTCACTGAACTGCATTTAGAAAACACACCACACTGACTTGAGTACGAGCGCTTGGATAAAGTTGTCGGTGCATCTCTTAGGTTTTACTTCATTTTACTGAGGAAAAATAAATAGAGTTCTGGGTTCGATAAATATATGCAGCCTTGGAAACCCATTAACACAAGTGCACAGAGAACCACACACACATGTTCCTGTGACGGACAAATTATAGCATGAATCACCTGGAAGCCCTGACACTTCTATTGTTGTTAATTACACCATTATAATTGAAATCCTAAATCTATTTGTTGCTGCTGTCACCAGAAGAGTTCTCTCTGCAGTGGAACTAATAACAGTGAGAACTGGCTGGAAAGGATAAAACCACTGACTGGATTAATGTGTTACCCTGACAGGTCATCGTCCGCTCCTCTGTTTACTTCAGTCATTGTTATCATATCTAGTTTCTATTTTACATAGTTGAAGAAAATAAAAAATAATTATGATAAGTTGAATAACTCAACAGAAACTGAAATCTGAAAACTTTTTAAACTTGGATTATTTGTCAAATATTCAGGAACGTATCACAGTTACCAACCCTATAACAACATCTCACCGTATGGATTTTTACCAACTCAGAACCCTTTGTCTTTGTTACATTGTTTCATGATCAATTTAAGAGGAGCAGTGGGAAATTGATTCAGGTCCTCGCAACTTGGAAAGCTGAGTGTTTTTAGGAAAGTGAGTGAGTGTGTTGGTGTTCTTTGTTGATCCCCATGACTCTTAACTACTGAGGAGAGAAGTTTTGTTGTTTTGCCTCAGTGTCTCTGGAGTTCAACACAGCAAGGCAACTCGGCTCCCCTAAGGCTGATATATAAGCTGTAAGGCTGGAGAATAAAGGATGAAGGTGTCTGTAAAAGCCTGTGGGCTGCAGCACTGGGACGACTTCCCCCTTTAGATGTGTCTGAGCCCACTTGCTGAGAGGTACTTGGAAAGTTTTTGAAGTGGCAGAGATCCTTGCTTCGGGCAACTTCCTAGAGCTTAAACTCATATCAGCTCATGTGCTGAGAGTGCTGCTATTAAGGAAAAGACAATTTTCTTCTCCTTTTTCAGGATGCCTTTCTGGTTTGTTAAACATAATTCCATGCACTGATTTCTTCATTTAATCTGTGTTTTAAATGTATGGGGAAAACACATTTAAATGTGACAACTTTATAAGAATAAAAGTTAACTTTCAATTGTAATATTCATCACCATTGATTAGCATAAAAATTATCATATAAAAAGCTGGTTTGTCTCAATATCCTTAAAAACTGTCTATTAGTACTGTGATCAACTACTAGTTTTCAAAAGTATATGAAATGTTTCATTAATCCTGCTCTCAGTAAACCAGAAAAAGTCAGTGAAAATGTAACATTTTTTTAAGTCAGTATAAAGAGCTTTCTCTAGGACAAACATTACAGATACATAGTGGAACAAATAAAAGACTGTCTGTTTCCACTGTAGGAAGATGTTGAGATAATGTCTACAGAGGTCAGACTGACTGACTAAATATTAGGTCATTATAAAAAAGCATGTAGGAGTGAGTGAATACTTTTCATTCTAATCACAATCACCTTTGTTGTTTTCAGCTTGAGTTACAGAATAATTAGAACAAGGGTCACCGGGGTCAGCAGTGTGATGGGAATAAATAATGCAAAGCTCTAATAATCACAGTGCTGTCATGAACCTGTCTTCGTTAAAGCATGCAGCACGTGGCATGTGGTCAGGTGATGTTTTTTTCCCACCATTTATTTATAATTACATTCACGTGTATGCATTCAGCAGAAACTTTAGTAGAAACCAAAGTGACATAAGAGTACTCAGTGCAGCAGTGGAGGAGGGAAGTACAGGAGAGTGCTACAACAGGGGGCGCTCTCTGGAGAGCTCGGTTTTTTTCTTGAAGGCAGTTCGGGACGCCCCTGTTCTGATGGTGATCCGTGGGTCATTCCACTAACATGGATTCGCTGATTATCTGGAGTGTGTGTATATTTGCCATCGTATTTCAGGTTTATTACCAATTTGCAGGTTTGTGTTCCAACTTTTATATTAATTTGATTTGGTAGATTCACAGCAGTAGCCCATAGACACTACTACCATCTTCAGTACGATCATATTTTCCCTGATGCCTTTCTACAAATAGTTCTACTGCTGCTCCGGTCGCCCATTCCATCTGCTTCTCCGTGTGCGTTTTTCTCTTCCCACATTGTTTACACATTGAGTTAATGAGACGTTTGATGTAGCCAATCCTGTTCATCAACATCACACTGTTGAACACTGCCAAAGACCCAGAGAAAATCGGCTCACCTGCTCAGACGCTCGCTAGGAGAGGGCCTTAATTGGAGCAAAAGAATGAGGTAGAAAGGGAATGGAGAAAAGATTTAATTGGCCTCGGGAAGAAAAAGAGAGAATAAAGACAGCTAAAATGGGAGTTGTTGGGGGTCTGCCATTTCTCTGAACTGAAAACTGTTCTCTTCTCATCAGTCCTCCACTCACACAATGGAATAAAAACACAGGAGGGGGAAGAGTGAAAGAGAAACAACATGCAGCACCAGTTCATCAAGACAGGGGAATGACAAGAACAATAGATAACCTCCATTCACTCTCATTCACATTGAGTCCGAATGGCAGCCTGTCAGATAAGGAGTAAAGGATGAGGTGGACACGGGATGGAAAGACAAGTAGCAACAGCACACAGTGAGACAAACAGGAGCGAGGAAGAGGAGGAGGAGGAGGACTCTGGGTTCAAGTGGGAATAAGTGTTACACAAAAGGTGCAACAGTAGGGAAAAACAGGAATGTGATGCACAGGAAGTCAGCTAAGAATAGCACCCCCTCATGGACTGAGACCAGGGACAGCTTTTATCAAAGTGTACATCTCTGATACTTGCTTTGTTCTTTCATTCTCTCTTTGTGTATCTGACACACAGTGGGAATATGGCCATCAAATATGTTACAGGGAAGGCTTCTCACGTCCTGAAGGGCGGAGGCTGAGTCTAAAGCCTATCTGAGCTGTTAATTACAGGTGGCCTCAGATGCACACGTTAGCAGAAGGATTTAAAGACGGAAAACAGAACAAAGTCTTAGTGGAGATTCAGTGTCGCAGGATTTCTTTGTGGAGTCCAGTCTCAGGCTGAAGTCATTATTATGTGCATGTAAATTTTTGACTTTTCATTATCATTAGTTTCTCCAAACTTGACAAGTTCCAGAAGCCATCACCAAGATGCACAGTAACGACTAATATCCATCAACTCAATTTACGAAAATTTTAGAATTTTAGAACTATATTTTTAAAATTTAGAACTATATTTAACCTCTTTTTTATAATCTCCCATATTAATTTTTTTTTGTTCCAGAAATAAACAGACAATATATTTGTCTGAATTGATCATGCATAATTAGGATCACAATCTATCGTGATTACTAGTGATTTATTATTATTATTATTATTATTATAGTAGTAGTAGTAGTAGGTAGTAGTAGTAGTAGTAGTAGTAGTAGTAGTAGTAGTAGTAGTAGTATTGTTGTTGTTGTTGTTGTATTTTTTATGTATATATTTTATATTTTTATATATTTTTTATTCAATAAGAATAGCAGTCAGTGGGAATCACACTGTTTTATTAGAGTCAGTAGTGTGTTGACAACAGTCCTATTTCTAAAGCTGCAGAGAAAGTGTGTTGTGAGAGGGCATTCTAATTAATGTACCTTTTCAGCACAGCTGGTTGATTTTTATTAATAAGATAAATGTAGACTTAACGAGGAGCCGGGTAATTGTGTTGGGGATTTTACAGAAATGTGGAGCCTAAATAGGGCGGCTAACAAAACCCAGGAAGACTCAAAACCCAGGAAATAGGCCAGTGGGAATTTAAAAAAAAAGGCAATCGCTGAGCAGTAAGTGTGTTTAATTCATATTTCCAGCAGTCATGCTTGACTGCAGAGTCCACTGAGTGCAGCACCTTTTTCTCCCAGCAGCCCTCAGTGCTGCTGGATGACTGGCTCACAACAACCCAGACTCATGATGCAACTTGAGGAAACGGAGTTTTCAACAACAAGGTCTTTTATTTTCTATCATTCTGCAAAATGAGGTTAATGTGGTTCCTGCCGCCTCATTGGAGGATCAAATAGTGACTTGATATAAGGTTGTGAAACTAGGAGTAATTCTCAATCAGATTTAGGGAACGCCAACAAATGCAATATAAAACGGCTGGAAAGTACAGATGTGTGGAGGCCTCTCTGACTGTCACCTGGTACAGGTCAGTGTGTAAACATGGAAGAGTCGCAACAGTGTTTTTAGTGCAGTGTGTGGGAGTGTTGCTTAGTCTGCTATGTAGTATTTCTAACCAACCATTTGTTCTTTTCATAATGATTAAGTTTGGGACACACCCTTAAGTCCAGAAAAGCTTAGCTTTTATTAAGATCATCAAACTCTGCTAATTTATTTCATATTCCATATTATTATTTCATCAACAAATGCTAATATTTACAAGCCTGAAGGTGCAAAAGATTTAAATACAAAAATATAAACTTAACCCATAACTGCAACAGCTAATTTAATCATCACTAAATTATTTAGTAACAATATTTCATGTGTTAAGATATGATGAACCTTTTCTTTTTTTTTCTTCTATCACCTCTGGTAGAAGTGAAATAAAAATAAAAAAATAAATTGCATTCTTTAAAGGTTGATACTCCTAAGGTAAAATGGTCTTGATGAGACTATGATGAAGATGTTGGAAATGATTAGTTAACAAATGTGTCTGTTCCTTTATGGAGCCAGCTCTGATCTATTCACAGTTAAAACCAAAACAGAGTTTGGATTTATTTAATAAGTTATGATAATGGATTTTGTCACAGCATATGAATTATACCTTTTTTAAACAGGCAGATAGACCACAGTGAAATAACAAGTGTTTTTTTTTTTTTTTTTTTTTTTTTTTTAAGTACAAACTGAGGTGATTGTGGTGCGTTTCTGATCATTAACAGAGAAAATACCAGTTATATTCCTACATGGAATAACACGGTTCTCTGTGCTGAGAATGTTCCTCTTCCAACATGTTGGCTTTCATTGTGTTTCTTCTCACAGTCCAAACACATGCAGTCAGGTTAATGAGCCGTAAATGTGATTGAGAGAGTTTTTCTCATCTCTGCCCATGTGACGCACCGGTGGCTGCTCTCCATTGGCTATTCCGCCAAGCCTCAGCTGGTATTGGCCTCCACTCCGTCCACGACTCTCGGAGTACAAGCTAGTACATAATGAGTGTATTGATGAAATGTTTGCTTCCAGTAAATTGATTGAAAGTTATTGTGTTTTCCCGTTTCCCCCTGCAGCCATGGACGCACCTCTGAACCTCACCGCCAGTGAAGTGAATCACCGCAGCGCTCTCCTCTCCTGGCAACCACCTATCGCCGAAATTGACAACTACATGCTCACCCTCAGAAGCGATGGCAACCATAAAGTAGGTATCGTATGATGCTGCACAGTCCTTGTGGTATTTGTCGCTCTCACTCACAACACTGAAAAAGGCAGTAGGTCAAACCCAGTTTGTATATTTTAAAAGACAAAAACCTTTGCGACCCAAGTCAATAGACAATATTCCTAAACTACTGGGAAACATGATGCGAGACGACCCAAAAATCTCTCGCGACCCAGTCTTTGGGAAACAACGGTGTAACCAACAATCAAACCAGGTAACTTTGGACCCTGCAGGACCAGGAGGGTGTGGCAATGGGAAGAAGATTAAGCATGTGAATGATTAATTTAATTTAATTATTTTTTAATTAAAAAAATATAGTAGCACACTGAAAATTCCTCTTGGTTTTCTGCAGAACAGATAGCTAGACATGCCATTTGTAAATGTTATTATGAATGGGAGATGTGAGCTGTGAGCGTTGTTCAGAAGGAGATAAATAATCGATTTGGGAGATAAATAATCCATTTGTGTATCGGGTATTTCCAAATATAAATGACACCTCTCTGCGGTGTAATCTGTGTGTGTGTGTGGAGCTTGTAAGCGTTCAGAGAGACACTGACAGACTGATAGACACACACACACTCACACACGCACCAGGGAGCTGCAGAGCTAAACTGCCTGTCCAAATGGAGATATTACTTTAATGTGTCTCTGTGGAGACATTGTTTATTTTGATTAAACCTTTTGATGTGGCTGAGTAATGATAATAAAATGCATTAGCGGGATCCGTGCGACTCGCACTATGCCTGTTAACAAATTGACTGGAACCATTCCCCATGATGCTTTGCAAAGATCCCTTTCATTGGCAATTATGTGTTTCATAAACACAGACCGGGCCTTTCTACATTTTCGAGTCTTTTAAAGATACGTGATTCATCATTAGCCTTCAGAGAGTTCTTTGTTACATATACACAGAACAAGATGGTTTTTAGAACAGTTTTCAAATACATCCAAAGAGGAACATCTTGTAAACACACACCAACACAAAGGAATCGTCCATAAACACCCTCTCTCTCTCTTATTGTCACTTTGACCAGTGCGTCCCGCTGCTGTTGTGCACTCAGTCAGTGGCCAACACTAATGGACAATTATGAAACATCCCTCAATACAACAGCCATGTCCAAATATTTTTAATGTGTTTTAATGTATTTGCAAATTCGTTGTATTCTTCAACCTCCCTTTTATAATTTTTTTAAACTAACTTCTTGATTAATATTTTTAATATATATAAATATATAAAAACATTACATATCCTTGGGTTTTGACTTTGCTTTATTTTTTTGGGAGATTCCAGTGTAGTCTGCCTTACAAATCACTGAAATTCAGAAGATGTATTTTTTTTATAATTGGCAAAATTGGAATCTGTATATTTTTATTGTATTTCTACGTTGGACGTAGGATTAACCTCTTGTAGTCTTGAGTGTTGCAGCAGTTGCACCTTGGGTAATTTCATAGTTTGATTCTTCAAATTCATTCTCCTTTAAACAATGAAAAATATGGATTCATTGATGACATTTTTCTGTTGTAAGTTCTACTGGTTGTCTCACATTCTTTCTACTGGAGTTTTTTTCCAGAAACATATTATTTTTTTAAACAAACACATTTCCAAACCTGTTTTGGTTTAAATGTATACACTCGAAGTATTTGTATTTGTACTTTGCGTTCCCGAAACAGGTGCAGCTTTTTCATATCATATCACACGACGACAAACAAAGCGCGATTCACTGCTCATGTAGTTAATAACACCACCAGACAAAATGGAGTGCCCCTCACGAGCTCTTCTCTGCCGTTATCGCTGCTTGAGATCTGACTCAGCCGGCAATGTGGCTGGAATACATCAGCGCTAATCTTCCCAGTGCTACTGACGGATCAACAGCTGTTCTGACAGCTTCTTCACTTACTGAGATAATTAACTCCACACGCAAAGAAGGTGTGTGATTAATTTCATGTCTGATTAACATTAAGTTTTCTAAATTAATGTTCGGTTTCCACGGAATCTTAAGAATTCTCCATACGCCAGGATTAATAGAGCTCCACGTCCGACGACTCTGACACAATATGCAGTGGGTATATTGAACTTTGTTATTACGTTTGATAAGACAGGCACTGTTTCGCTCACAATAGTACTGTACAATCTTATCTCCACCCTGAAATCCCGGTGGGAAAATGTCATCTCCCCAGAGACAAAGAGACAGAGTTTACCAGCTGCTTCTCTGAATAATCCACACTGACACCTTAACTGAACTAATGTGATGTTGTTTTTCACCAAACAGGCTGAAGGTTTGGTTTTTACTTCTTGTATTAAATGCCACACTCAGGTCAACTGGTATGTTCACAGCAAGACGCATGCAGAGACATGTTCGCGTTCTGAGCCTCCTGCTGGTGGATTTATGCGTCATCCGAGAAACATGTCACAGACTAAAGTCCAAAATGTTTCCATCTGTATTCACATCTGTATTCTACCACCGTGTGAAAAAGATTGAAGGGTTTGTTTTCCGCTCACCAGCATCTCAGCTTGAATTTACGAAACATTTTCTTCTTATTCTGTTCCCTCCGTCGGCCCCTGCTATCACCCATCAACCACTCACCCTCCTATTTTTGTTGGATTCTCTTTTTTTCTTCTTTTTTTTTGGTTACATTTGTTATGAATTATTCAGATTCCAGGGCCGTGGTTACTGAAACAATCAAAACGAAACCTCTTTTATCCGACTGTTGATGTGATGCTGCTGACGCTGAGAGCACTTTGCTGTTTGTCTCTTTGACTATTTCTTTTATTGTCTAAATTCCATTACTGGTGCAGGAACAGCAACAAATGGAGGTTTTGTTTTAACTGTTGAGCGAGGAAACAAATGGTTGGCATTCATTTACTTAAATAAAGAAGATAAATAATAGTATTTTTACCAGAATACTGGCTTGGTTGTTTTGGGGTCTTTGATTGGTCTGCCTGGAGACCAGTTCTGTCTCTGGTCTCAACCAACATCCAAGCAGCTCATCTCTTCTAAAACAAAAAGAACTGGCCAAACTCCCACTTTCAAAGTTGCAGCAATTACTATCCTCAGTTCCCGAACAAATAAAAAGTTTAATTAAAGTAAAAGGGATGTGACTCTGTGATGAACTTGATTCTGTTCCAATGTTTTTTTTTTCTTTTAAACTGTTCTCTAAATTAGTTTTTATCTAAAAACATAAATAAGTTAGTCGGAGAAAAGACATTAGGTTTTAGTTTTTCCCTCTGCTGTTCAACAAACTTTCAAATGCATTTCCAAATTACAGATTTGATTTATTTCTTTTGGATATTGAAGAAGTAAATTTATTACCTGTCTTTTTTCGGTGTCTGTGTGTGTGTGTGTGTGTGTGCGCAGCAGGACCTGATTCTAGATTCAGAGGACACATGGATCCGACTGGAAGGACTGGCTGAGACCACGGAGTACACAGTAAAACTGCAGGCAGCGAGAGAACTTGACAGCAGCCCTGTGGTCTCCACCACCTTTACTACAGGTAAACTACACTCTATAATAATATAGTTAAAAAAACACTTCTACTTTACATGAAACAAAATATCGGTAAGATAAAAATCTGCTCTGTCTTTGGTTCCACATTTATAAATTCAACCAAAGACTCACCTTTACTGGCTCTCATCTCCGTGTGGCGTACACACACACAGATCCTTTACCTGCGCGCACACGTAAACAGTCACATATTTTTCTATTTACACTTAGGCAGTGAATCCAATGAGGAGAATCTTCCTGCTTTCACAGATTTGTTTACCTCTTTTGCAGCACATTACAATTCATCGTCCCTATAATAATGGCTCCCTGAAGTCGGTACAATTTTCATCTCCACTTAACGCTGCACAGTGAGAGCGGTGCGGCGATAGAGACGCAGGGCTGCACCTGCAGTGGAGTGGTAATTTACTATCACGGAGCTCAGCTTGAACGTCACTGTCCTCAGTCTGTGATTGGACAGCAGGTTAAATGAGGGCCTGGAACGTTGTGAAGCTGCTAATAACCTGGAAGAAATAAAAAAATATTAATATTCTTTTTTTTTTAAACTGAGCAGAGAGAAAGCAGCTCAGGTACAATGAAACACTTGATGCACTGACGTTGCTTTAAAACCCACAGATTTCCATCTAACTCCACATTACTGCACACGCTCGAGGTATAAATACTCACACGAGTACAACTCTCCTCCGCAGGGAGTCGACTATTTGCAACACCTCAAAATTGCGCCCAGCACCTGCTGAATGGAGAGACGCTGAGTGGTGTCTACACGATTTACATCAACAGAGACCCCAGCCAGGGAGTGCAGGTGTACTGTGATATGAACACTGACGACGGAGGCTGGATCGTAAGTCACTCTGACAATAACACTGCCTTTTAATAGAACTTTTGTCAAGTGTGCGTCGGTGGGTAATAAAGGGACGGGAATAGTAGAGGAGGAATTTGAAATTGTGTGTCACTGTCAATTTACTCCTTTGTGCTCAACTCGGTCACAGCTATTTTAAAACAAACTGCCGCTTCATATTTTTCTGAATTCTGTGCTGTGTCCTCACAATGGCCTCCAGGTGTTCCAGCGTCGACAGAACGGCCTGACGGACTTTTCCAGGAAGTGGAGCGACTACCGGCTCGGCTTTGGAAGCTTGGAGGACGAGTTCTGGCTCGGTGAGATGAAATTCAAATGTACTTGAGGAAATGTGCAGCGAGCAGAGAGAAGTTACCAGTTCAAGTTTAAATAGTGAAACAGAGAAAGATGTTGAGAACACAATGTCCAGTTAATGTTTTTTGATGGACACACAGAACTGCAGCTTCACATCTTTAATGAACAGTCTCAGCAAAGAAGAAGCTTGGATCCATTAAGATTTGATCTGAAGAATTCTGTAGCGTATTAGAAGTTGTTTTTCCAGCACATACCTCGGTGGCTACTAATTGTTGATAGGGTTATCAATATGTATCACATAATGTTAGTAGAAAATGGTCTGAGCGAGTAGATGCTTTTACTTTAATGTAGTTTCATTTCAGTTTTAGAGATGCTGGGCTGCTTGTGCATTTGTTTGTTTGTTTGTTTGTTTGTTTGTTATCTAGCTCTTGTCTCAGGTATTTTTCTGTCAGAAAGAAAACGATGTTCAAGCGAGCAATCCCTTGAAGTATTTGTCAACTAAAATACAGTAATCTCAAAGTATTTCTAACTGAGTGGTTTGCTGTTGTTTAGGGAGTGATTATAGTCACTGAACTGGAGTGTACTGATGGTTGGACAAAATGTTGCGGTGTTTGAAGGAGCTACACGTACAGCTGTAGCTCTAACTGTAGCACAGCTCATACAGTGTACTGCAGTACATTACAAGTAAAGCCTTTCCAGGCATTGAAATCTGACTTAACCAGTGCTGTCATTTAAGGTCACACACGTACGTGAGGTCGAAGTACTTTGTTCTGTATTTCGATTCATTCTATCCGACTCGTAAACATACATTCTCCTAATCAGACGCCAGAACCAATCAGACACACTCTGACTGCGCTGATCAGAATCTTTTCAACGTCCGACATACAGATGTTGTCGACAGCAAAGCAGAAAAATGTTGGAACCCGTGCACGTCTGCAGTGTCTTCTTACTCTGGTCTAATGCACATTTAATGTCAGCCTGAGCTCAGACAGATGTTTTACAGATGTTGGTTATTTTACGCTGAGTAACGCAGATCATCGACATCTTCCTGTGCAGTGATGGAGCAGAAGAATAATTGTCAACAACTCTGAGTCCAAATATAGGGTTATAATGCAAAGCAATCTGGACTGATGGATGTGATGTGACATTAGCGTTCTGTTTCACCTTAACTCTTATGAATGAATTTTAATGTTTTTTTTCTAACAACAATTCCACTGTGTGGATGTCATTTTAAGGACAACAAACAGCCTTGTCTTAATATCCAGTAATCCTGTTTTAAATACGCATTACAACCGCTTGTAACCGTTTTCAAAAGTCTTTGTTTGACTGTAGTGGGTGAAAGCAGTGAAAACCATATAATATTATCTGTGTATGTCAGAAATACAAAGGTTTTATAGATGAGACTGAGATGTTGCCAATATTCTGTGCAGGAAGAAAATCCTTTTTAGTCACAGCTCCTACTTTGTATGAAGATAAAGAATCACGCTGCCGGCCCTTTTAATTTTCTCATCTCATTTTTCACCACTCGCCTTCACAAAGTCGCCCCGATTCATTACTCCATTCTCTGAATGCTCATTTTTCCCTGAAATGAATTGTTAATTGTTTCTGGTTTCGGCCCGATTCAGAGGCGAGACGGAACATCCTCGCTGTTTTGATGGACTGCTAAATGTTTTTTTTTCACACCCTCTCCAATCTCATTAGAAACAATAATTATATTCATTAGAAAATGTGCAAATGAGTTATGGTTTCTTCCTGGGCCAGTTTTTTTTTGTGCGTTATTGTTTTTGGTGCAGATGATTAAGAAGAATATTACATGCATATTTCATCAAGCACATCAGGACTTTGAGAAGAATGCTTTCAGAAGTTTTTGATTAGAGAAATTAAATAACACTCAGGAAAAATGTTGAAGCATCACATTATCACCACATTATGACAGGCGGGAGGCTGTTACTCTGCAGCTCACACATATTGGATCATAACACCAGAACGATGTCGCACATTACAGTCCATTAGTGAATTAGACAAATGTTCAGACTTTTCAGAGATCCAACCCATCATAAACACAACCAAATATCAGATTCATTTTATGTTATTCTTGTTTTTTTAAGCTGTTGCTCGTGGTGTGTTTGAAGTGGTTTTTATTTTTAGAATTTAAGAGTTTTTTTTTTTCAATATTATTTATTTATTTATGTAAATTAAAGGAGAGAAAATCCCCAGTATAAGCCCAGGGTGAAAATCCCTGCACATGATTCTTGTTGTTAATCAACAAGTTATATGACAAATACAATTTAATACAATTACTATTTTACACATTTTGTAGTTTTCTTTTTTAATTAGATGTGATTTTTTAAGGGTTGAAAAACCTGATCAAATTAATGAGTGCAATTTCTTGACTGAGCTGTAATGATACAAACAGTATCAGAGTTGTTGTGGAAGCCTGAGAGACAGGTCTTTTCATGCCTTTATTATTGAAATCTCACGACCATCTTTTTCCCCTTCCCACATTATAATCAGAAACACCGTTGAACACTTTATATCCAACAGAGTTACAATGGCTGAACTAAAAAAAACAGCCATTAGCACATGTAGGTCAGTGTGTACAAAACAACTGTCCTGTTTCTCTTTTCTCTGAGTCAGCAATAATCTGACTCTACTCTATACAGTAGAGTCAGACTCAGTCACTGTGGTTTTACTCCGACCCTCAGGATGTCTCTGTTTTCTTCTCTGCGCTCCTTTATTTCAGCGCTTTTAAGCAACCTAACCGGGCAATCAATCGGGCAGCTTTTCTCATGATGTCAGATGAAACATAAAAAGCAAGGTTCGGATCCTGTCGGGTTAAAGCGTGGAAAAACTCGCCTTAATCTCCCACGGCTGACCTTTTGAAATGTGTCACATGGAGGTCAAATCGCTCTCCTCACTCACTGCTCTCTGTTTCTGAATCACCAACTCTAAGGGGTCTCAGTGCGCCTGTTTAGGCCTAAGTATGATTACTGTCTTGTCTGTCCAAATGAATTTCTCCCACAGCACAAATAAACCAAGGATGAATAATGTATGTCATAACAATGCACTGAGCTAAACAGTTGCTGCTTTTAAAAGGCCCCCAAAGAAAACTGAAATTACCGCGTCCAAGATGCTATGGTTTTGTCAGTTGTTGGTTTTTTTGTATCATCCTGACACAAAGTAACTGCTCCTGTAATATTAACACTCTTCACTGTTTCAATCCATTTGACCTTCACTCTCAGTTCTACTCAGTTCGTACTGGTTCACCATGGTTCCCTGGAGAACCATTACAACCAGCGTTCAGCTAATCGGTGCCGCTGCACATCCCGCACTGCGAACGTTGATGCAGCGGGCTGCACAGAGCCATAAACCCCCGTATTAAATCCACTCAAACTAAAAAAGAAGAGGCACTTCACTGGTCAGCAGTAAAGAATATGGAAATGAAGCTTTCACTATTAAGTGCTGGGGTTTGAGAGCGGCACATTTATGGCTGCTCACGGGCAATCTATTCTCCATCCCCACTGACCTCGGCTAGTTTGATGCCGAACACGGTGTCAGCGCAATGATGTAAGAACAGTGAAACAAGGGTGTGATATGTGATCATTATCCTTTGCCCTTTAGTTATTTTTATCCCCCTCCCCCCTGCGTTTATGAGAGGATAAGGCCAGTAATAAAATGTGACAAGATGCTAAATGCCCGTAGAACGATAGCACGAGACTGCAGTGCTGTGTCAAAACCCACGTTTTTAATTGCTGTTGTTTGGAACGAGGCGCTTTTTATCCCATTAAGCTGCTCTGTGAAATAATGACTCCTACATTAATTGCATGTAATCCGGTGCTATTTAGAGTATAAATTTGAGGTATTAAAATTCTTTTTATTACAGCAATTGCTCGTCCCTTGTCCCTGTAAGTGCCTTCTGGTTGTAAAATAAGTTTTATCTTCTTTCCATTGACATAATACCAGAGTTTTTCCTCCTCTTCCATTTTCTCCTTGCTCTCCCAGGTTTCTATTTCCTTTTCCTTATCAGTAAAGGTTGTGTTTTTTTTTATTTTACACAGGTTTTGCTTTAGCTCTAG